GCGAATTATGCGAAAATGGGGAAAAAAATTTGTTTGAAAATAAAGAAATTCAAGATATATGGAAATAAAGAAATTAGAGATATATATTTTTTTAAATGACCACACGTTGTAAATATTATGCTCGTTGCAATTTTATTTTTTTATCCTTGAAAAATATCTGTCCCTCCATTGGTTCTCTTCCATCTCTGTTACGAACCAAGCTCTTCGTTTCGTACTTCTTTACGCTCGCTTTGACTGAGACGCTTTGGCAAACGCATTAAAATCTCCTCGTTTTGCGACTGCTTTGATCTCGATGACAGCCGTGTATGCGCTCGCGCACAGACGTTCTAACCGCAAGAACATTTTCAACCGAAGGAATCAAAGAGAAAAGCGAAGATAGAAAACCATTGGATGAAACTTTCGTGTATTTCCTCGTTTCTTTTTTTCCTTCCTTCCTTCCTTCCTTTCTTTTTTTCTTCCTTTCTTCTTTTTTTTTCTTTCTTACGCGATAACTTTTAAAAACTGTAGGATTAGACAGTGGATGGAGTACATAATGTAACAACATAACGTAACAACACGGCGATAATACTTGGCGTTGGACGCATCGTTAACCGCGTATCCTTTTACCACGTAGCCGAATGTAACGACGTAATACGATTGTCGGAGAGGAGAGGTTCGCGTATCGCGTATACGAACGATAACTAAGGCGCAAAAAAGCATTAGAAAGGAGATGGTGCGAGCAGTTTCGAAGGAGGAAGGAGGAAATGATTTGGAGGTGAAGAGAGAGAATAAAATATGGGAAGAAAGGGGCGCGAGAGGAGTGTGCGAGTGCACAAGCATTCTATAGCTAGCTACAGCCACAGCTCATCAATCATCAGAGTTTAGAGTCGGACACGTAATTTCCGGGACGCGGGATTCGTTCGACGTTCACGTCCGTTCGAGCGAGGCTCCGATTGGCTGTTGGTAGCTAACAGGGCTATTCGATTGGTTGCTCCCTGCATCGGCATGATTTATGAGCCCTAGTGCGTTCGTTAATATGCCCGGTGATCGTTTCGAACGAGCCAACCGACCGACCAACCAGTCAACCGGCCGACCAACCAGCTAGCCCAGTGAGACAGTTCGACTGCGACGTGAGTTATATTCGACGATGGCTCCCCTATATTCCCCCAATCACCGCCTATTCTCCTTCGC